GGGAGGGGGAGGGGGGCGGGGACGGGGAGGAGGAAGATGACTAAGGGGAAAGGGGAGGCGAAAGGATTGGATTTACGCGCGCGCTTCAGCCTTCATGACAAATCGCCCGTTTCCTCACCAATAAAGGCAGGAAGGGGTGGATGGGAATCAGCCAGGGCATGACTCAATCGAGCATATTCCCACCTCTATTATAAAAGTACGGTATCCGAGTCCTGCCCTGTCAAAAGGACGGCATTCGTCACGTGACGATACTTGCTACAAGGGTGTCTTGTACTCTTCATTCATGCGTACCTTAAGCCTCGTCTCGTTCGCCTTCTGGGTGAACGCGGCATCGCGGGCGACACGCGCCCAGCGCTGGAACGCCCACCTCCAAAAGATCGACGCCATGATGTCCACGAAGTCTTCTGCGGCGCGAGTCATATGGCCATCAACCACACGAAAGCCCGGAGCGACCGGAACTTCGCTCCCCGGCTCTTCCTGATGCTGCTGCTCGGACCGGTCGCGGGGCTGAAACATCTCGACACCATCGCTTACGGCATAATCGTCCAAGGCATCCTCCAGCCGTGTTTCGTTTCCTCCGTCATGCTCGTGGCCGTACGACGACGGAGAAAACTCGTGTCGGCGCTCGGCCCCGCCTCCAATCCGGCCCTCCTCTTCCTCCGCGTCCCAGGGTGGCGACCCCTGACTCAAGCTCAACAACCCCACGGAACCCCCAACGTAAGGGGGCGACTGTGGAAAGCGAGCGCGCCCGCGTCTGCCGCTTCTCCCTCCGCCGCCGCCGCCGCCGCCGCCGCCGCTGCCACTGCCGGCCAACAAAGGCGATCTCGCGGGGGTCGTTCTCGTCACCTCGCTGCCGCTTCCGACGCCTGCGAAGCCCCCGTTTGTGCCGTTTGTTTCGTCGCCGTGGCGGGCGGGGCTAGCTGGAGGCGGCGTTTCCGCTGTAGGTCTTTCGTCCTTCGAGTCTTCCCCGGAGAACAACGCGAGCACGCGCCCTCCGCCGCCGCCGCCGCTGACTACCTCCTCGCTCCCCCCACCAACGCCACCGCCGCCGCCCACGCCCCGGAACATCAGGACACTCTCTCCGAAAAGCGGACTGCTGTCCGACATGTAGGCGGCCAGGCTTCCCTCCGGGCTGGCAAGGGCAACGCCCACCGTTGTTGCGTCCTCCCCCGTCGTCGGTAGCGCCCTCATACCGGCAGAGCGCGATTGAGGTGCGCCGAAGCTCTCCTCGCTCGCGGTAAGGTCCAAGCTATCGTTTTTTCTCAGGTCTTCGCCGGGTCTGTCCGCAGGGAATGGCGCTGCTGCCTCCTCAGGGTGCGCACGGCCGTTCAAGGAGAAGGAGGTGGAGAGCATCGCGACGCCGGCTGCAGCGGGAGGCTGATAAGGCGAGAAAGGGGAAGAGGAGTAGTTCAACTGATCCGACCACGCCTGCCCGCTTCCCGGAGGGGTCGAGTCGCCCCTAGCGCCGCCAAACCTTGGAGGTGGGACAAGGGTTGCCGGGGTCTCCAACCCGCCCGCCAACGCCCTGGGCAACGGCGGCGACGTTGCTGACGCCAAGCGACCGGGGGGGGGAATCACGTCACTGGGCGACCTACTCGTCTCAGCCGTCGCTACCGGTGGTACCTCCAGCGACGTCTCTCCGCGCAACCTGCGCCACAGAGCGCTCACCGCGGAGCCCGGGGGCGAAGCCGACGCCGCGACCCGGCCCGACTTTTGACCCGTTCGGCTGTCGCCGTGAGGTGTCTTCACGCTCTCCGTCGTCGGCGTCCCGGCCGGGGGCGTCGACTCATGTTGCGCCGTGCCGGTCGACCAGATGTTGTTGGCGCGGCCACCGGCGCAGCTAGCTGGGCCTCCTTCGGTGATCCCAGCGGCCTGCACTGCGGCCGCAGCTGCCGCCGCTGCGGTCGCCGCTGCTGCGTCCGCCTCCGCCTCCGCTTTCTCCCAGGATGCCGCTTCGGCCTCCCGTTCCAGGCGCCCGCCCTCCTCCGTCGACCACCCCGCCCACTTCACCCAGCAGCGGCGTAGGACTCGCGCGGTGTGGTTCTCTTGCGCCTTGACGAAGAGCTCCTCGATTCGCGTGGCCCCAAGTATCGCGCGCGCCTGCCGGGTGGCGACGGCTGTGGTGGCTTTCCTCCACGCCAGCCACGAGCGGGACAATCGCCGCGCCTCCGCCCGCCGCAGCAGACCTCTCACGGCCCCGGCTCCGGCCTCGTACATGACGGCGACGGACCGCCTGGCCTGTTGTTGCTGCTGCTGCTGCTGCTGCAGCCCCAGCTGCTCGGTGGTGGCGGAGTCAACCGCCGCGGAGGGAGGAGCCGCGACGATGCCGCCAACACCCGGGGACGTAGCAACACCCACCCGCGCGAGACGCGAGGCGCCACCGTGTGAACCCCGAGCCGTGGCGGCGCCAAGCAGAGGAAGCGAGGACAGTGACGCCGACACCCCGCGACGGGCAGGGCGTCCCCGCGCGGCCAGCCTAGCCCAGAGGCTCCATGCCCTCGAGAGTCGCCGCTGGTGGGCCCTCGCGACTACTCTCGCCACTGTCTGGGCCACGTGGAAGTGCCTCTCGAACCGCTGCAGCTCGGCCTCCCCCTCGGCTCGCACCACCTCGCCCCAGGCCCTCCACGCTCTCCCCATCTTCGCCAGCTGGGTGCGCCGTTCCACCCGCGTCAGGGTACGCGCGAGATGGAAGTGCTTCTCCATGCTCTGCAGCTCCGCGTCCGCCGCCGCCCTCACCTGAAAAAACCCGGATGGGCCAAGCGATGGACCGGAGAGCAAAACACGGATCATTAACGACGTTGAGAGAAGGGGGCTACCGTTGGGTGTCGAGTAACCTGACGCCGCTTCTAACGACTACAACTTGAGGCCAGACGCTTTCACATACATGTCACCTTGGCTATATACGAAGGGTGAACGACTACAGCACACTACAAAGGACTTCAACCATCCCATTCTACAACTGCATTGAAGTCCGTCTACGAACATCGACCAGTACTCGTATGCTCACAGCTTTTTGCGACAAAGGTAAACAAACGTACTAAAGAGTGGCACACAGAAGTTCAAAGCCGCGTGGACTAGACGTGGATCGAGTTGCTGGCACTGTAACTGGAGGACTGAACTTTGTTGAACTGAGAGAGCGTTCAAAACTCCACAAAACAAAGGTTTCAGTCGTTCAATATTTGCCAAGAGCAACTGCAAAAACACCCCTGATTAATTCACAGCTAGCGCCTCCTCGTTGTGTCCTCGCTCACCTCCTTGCGCCAGACGGACCAGGCCTTGGCCAGAGCTCGGCGCCGCGCCGACCCCAGGACCCCCACGAGCAAGCGGCACCCGGCGGATTGCCGAGCCCCCAACACCCTCCGGTCGGCGGAGGCGCGCTCGCCCTCGTGGATCGCCGCCGACGCCACTCCAGAGCGCCAGATGGCCCACGCCCGCGCAAGATGAGACCTCTTCCTGTGGGACACGAGGGAAGCCAGGGTCTTGGCGGCCGCCCTCTTGCTCCTGGCCTGGAGCAGGCCTCTTTCCACAAACCGCCGGCTCTCGGAGGCGGCGTGTCTCCACCGAGACAAGGCGGCCGATTTCCTCCTCTCCCCCCGCCAGGCGCATGCACGGGCGAGGCACTGGAAACCCCGAGAGAGCCGGTCGGCTCGGGCTTCCTCCTCCTTCGACAGGTAGATGACCCACGCGCCGTGCCTCAAGATTCGGTTCAACCCCTCGGCGAGCTGGCGGCTGGCGCGGCGCTTCAGCAGACCCCACAGTGCGCGGGCCCGCACGGCTTCCTCGGCGGCCGCCCTCTCCCGCTCCGCCTCGGCCTGGCCCCGCTCGGCGTTCGCGATGCGCCACCGGTTCATCCCCTGCGCCAGGAGGGCTCGCCGGCTGCGCTCCGCGACCCGCGGGACGCACGCCACGGACCGCGCGTTCCTGCGCCAGGCCTGCCACGCCCCGCGGACCCACGCCAGCTGAACGCGCCTCACCACCCGCGTCAGCGTCCGAGCCAGGTGGAAGTGCCTCTCCATGGTCTGCAGCTCCGCGTCCGCGGCCGCCTTCGCCTCCCCGCACCACGTCCGCCAGGCCTTCCACAGCACCCGGCGGCGGGCGCCGCCCATGGCCGTCGCCAGGAGCCGGGCTCCGGCCGAGTGCCGCGCGCCGGACACGCGCAGGTCCGCCGAGGCGCGCTCGCCGTCGTGTGTCGCGGCGGAGGCGGCCCCGGACCGCCATAGCGCCCAGGCGCGGGACCGGGCGGAGGCCTCGCGGCGGGCGACGACGGAGCCGAGCATCTTCGCCCCCGTCCGCCTCTGCGCCGAGACCAGGAGGGCGCGGTCGCTCCGCCGCCCGACCTCGGCCGTGTGGCACTGCCACCGCGCGAACGCGCCCGCGACTCGCCTCCGCGTCGTCCTCGCCGCCGCCCGCTTCAGGCCGCGCAGCCCTCGCGAGACGTCGTCTCGGCGAGCCTGCTCCTCCCTGCTCCCGAGCACGGCAAGGGTCCGGTTGTCGGCGAGCCTGCGGAAACCCTCGCGCAAGCGGTGCACGCGCTTGCGCCTCAGGATAGACAGCACGGTCTGCCCGCGGAAGGCTGCTTCCGCCGCCGCCTTATCCTCCTCTGCCAGGGCTCTTCCGCCCGTCACGGCCGCCAGTCGCCACCGCGCCAGGTAGCGCACCAGGCGGTCCCGATGGACACGCGCCTCGGCCCGCAGCACGCAGGAAACCGCCCTCGAGAGGGCGCCCTCCCGCTGTCGTCCCCGGTGCGACTTCCCGCGCCACAGCGAGAGAGCCCGCCTCCGGGCGTCTTCCTCCTTGCGCCGCGTGACCGCGGCCACGATCGCCGCTCCGCACGCCGCCCGAACCGTAGCCACCTCCCCCCGGTGTCTCTGCTCGGCCGAGAGCCCCTTCCACGCCGACCACGAGCGCGAGAGTAGCCGTCGGGACGACCTCGACTCCGCCACCGCCAGGAGGCGATCCCTCCGTTCTTGCGCCTCTCGCTCTCGCCGCCGCCGCCCGGAAGCGGCCACCGCGGAGCCCACGAGGCGGCCCCACACCCTGGTCTGCCGCCGGAGAAGGTTGCGCTCCAGCGCCGCGAACAGCCGGCGAGCCCCGGCCTCCCTCGCGGTCGCCTCGCGGTCGACCGTGACAGCGTGGGCTAGCCGCCGTTCGGCGTGGCGGTACCAGGCGTGCAGCGACCTCCGGAGGAGGCGCCGGCGCCTCCCTTCCACCGCCCGGGCCAGCTCCCGCCCGAGCTGCGCCGCCGCCCGCGCGCGCCACGCTTCCCTCTCCTCGGCGTCCCGGTCTTCCGCCATCGCCCTGGCCCACTGCCTCCAAGCCGCCAGCTGCGTGCGCTGCCGTCGCCTGTGGAGCCAGAGCAGAGCCAGGCGGGCGCCGGCGCCCCGACGGTCCACCTGCGCCGCCAGCAGATGAGCCTGTGTTGTGCGACCGGATGGTCAAAGAGCATGAGGCATGGTGAGCAGAGGGTGGGCTACCGCCGGTCCCCTTTTGGAAGAGGCAAAGCTCTGGCTGGATCTACTACCCCTGCAAGTGTTTCTTTGTCTTCGTCGGTCGCGGAATGGCTGAGATTACTGTAGCCTGGGACAGCAGAACCGCAGACCGAGCAACCAACAGAAAAAACCGTACACCAAAATCTCAATGTCACCATGACGAAGCACTTTTGAGCATTTCCATCGTTTCAACGGCATACGCTTCTAAGTCGTGTCACACGATAATAGATGGTATGTCCTTTGCACATTCAGGTTACCTACTCCTGATACACCATGCCGAGGACCAAAAACAAGGGGCACTGCTGAAACGCAGCCGCTGACAATATGGTTCCTGGGGCATCATGTACGCCAACTGTTCTCGTGATCAAAACTCCCCCCCCCCGGTGTTTGCCATCGGGGTTGGGTTTTCGTCGCTTGGCAACGACGTTGTAAAACAAGCCGCCCCCCCCGGTGCAGCAGGAGCGGATGGGATAGTCAACGAGTTCATGAAGTTTGGGGGGAAGGGGATGATCCAGCTCATGGTACTGCTATACAATTGGGTGTGGAAAAACGAGTATACGCCAAGTAGATGGAGGGAAGGAGTGGTTGTGAACTTGTTTAAGAAAGGAGACAAGACTGACCCAGGAAACTACAGGGGGATCACACTGTTGAACACAGTAGGAAAAGTGTTCTGTAAGCTGCTGAACGATAGGATAGTGGGAGTATTGGAGAAGGAACATAGCATTAGTGAGGGCCAGGCAGGTTTCCGCAAGAAGAGGGGGTGCGTAGACCACGTGTTCACGGTAGGGAGAATCATCCAAGGTAGAAAGAGGGCGGGAAAGCCGACGTACTGCTTCTTCCT